AGTTCCAGCTCCTGCCAACCTAGCAGTTCGAAAGCAAGAAATTGCAAGTAGATAAATAGGTACCACTTCGGTGGGAAGGTAACAGCGTTCCGTGCGCCTTGGTGTTTAGTCATGCCGGCCACATGACCACGGAAACGTCTTTGGACAGCGCTGGCTCTTCGGCTTTGAAACGGAGATGAGCACCGCAACCCTGGAGTTGGATTCAACTGGCTTTCGAGCAAGGGAACCTTTACCTTTACCTTTTTACCTGTTTGGCTGGCTTTTGTAAGCCACGCCACCATGGATGGTCAGGGAGGTTTTATCAATGTTTTATTACATAAACCAAATTGATCTCTGTCCTCTCAGATTAACTTTACTTGCTGCTTCCTGTGTAAAAGGTTTCTGTTTAAAGTCACAGAGTATATCTCCCCCCCCACACACACACACTATGTTGTCTCCAAAACCTCACGAAAAAAAGGGAGATCTTTCTTCCCAGGGCTCCCATGTTTTCATTTCAACAGGTGCTGTCTTTCGGAAAAACTCTTTCCTTTTTAATTCCAGGCTAGGAAAATGTGAACCACTTGAATTTTCTTACCTCACACTCAATTAATGCTAAGTTAATGATGAAAAGAAGTGCCTTAGGTTCTCAGGGTCAGGGTTATTGTTCACTCTATTTCTGTCTTTTGATTCTTATCAGGTCCTGTAGATCTCAGGAGGGAAACTGAAATCCAAAGTGCTGCGGTGTTGCTGATGAGTGGGGCTGAGAAGTTGGGTCCAGCCATGATCCCAGAGAGGGGAGATGAAGTTGAAAGTCTGGATCCTTCTGTGTCCCCAGAGGCAGGAAAGGAAGCTGAGAAGCCAGACGCTGTTCCAGGGCCTTCAGGAACAAAAAGCAGCACTGAGAAGCCAGATGTTTTCTCCTCCACTCAGGGGGATGGAGTGAAGAATCAGGATGCCACTGAGGATGCAAATGGGACGGAGAAACCAGGTGTGGCTGTTGTGTGCCCAGGGAGAGGTGGCCATGTTGAGAACCTGGAGGTTTTGTGCTTCTGGAGTTTGTCCTCTAGAAAAGAAAATGGAGCAAGGAAGCTGAATTCTTTTGGAGATCCAGGGGGAAGATCCCAAATTTCAGGCATCCCTGTATCCAAAGGGAAAGAAAGTAGAGCCAAAAATCTGGATAATGACCACTCTAAAATTAGAGCAGCATAATAGAATGTGAGGCTAGGACTTGAGAGTCCCAGGTTCAAATCCCTATTTAGGGAATAGGAAGGGTGGGATAAAAACCTTTTCTTTAAATCTAGAAGCCAAAGTAGGACACTTTCCCCAGCAATGTTCCATCTAAGCTCCACAGTGTTGTGAACAGAAATTCAATTATAGCCTGTGGGGACCATTATAGTCAATAGGCTATAATGGAGAATCGATCTGGGGCTCTGTTTTTTGAAGGGCACCAGATTTGCAGCATAGCTGCTGGTGCCTCTCCTCAACCCATCCACCCCTCAAGTTCCAAAAAGAAATCTGTTTTGGAGTATATTTGGAGTACATTCTGGGTTCTTTTTTTAACGAAGGATCTGTGATCTAAGAGTACATTTCCAAGAATGACTATACCCTTCTGACTTTTCAGCTTGGCGGTTTAATGTGTTTGTGTTTCCAGGCTGCTCAAGTCTACAGCAAACACCTGAAGTCCAGCAAGAAGCACAGCAAGAGGAGGAACGCCCTATCAAAGGTATCCCCTTGTCTGCTGCCCACCTAAAAACCTTCCTTCAGATTGTCTCCCCTCTATCTTAATGCGGATTGTTCAGTGGCATCGCCAGATAGTGTCTCATCCAGGCAGGACTGTCTCAAAATTTTTGAGTTTTTGACATTGGATTTTTAAATTATTGTTTCGCTCTTGATTGGTCACCAGTTAATGTTATCCTAATCAGTAGAGCACAATGCAAAAGAAGCATGGTATAAATAGGCTTAACATATAAGCAATAATAGTACTTAAAGAACGTAGTTTTAAAATTACAGATGTTTGACATCTTGATATATATATGCCCTGCTATTTGTGGAAGAGAGACTGGTAAACATACTCGTCTTGTCTTCTTTGCATTGCAGGTTAAAAAATTGATCCGTAGGAGTAAAACTAGTTCAAAACCAAACAAAGATATTTGCAAATATTCTTAATGTATGTAACAAATTATGAGTGCTGTGCAGTGTCTGGAATTTTTAGCAAAGGGTACAGCTTTGGTTCTATATGTCTCTTAAAAGAGGCTCTTGTTTCTTTTTTCATGGACCAGGGCCCTTGAATTTTTTCCCCATAGTCCCCTTTATGTGAGACACTGGGCGTTAGGCTGTAATACTTCTACAATCTCCTCTTACAGAAAGAAGAAAAGCGCTTCAGGACATGCTCACAACGTTAAACTTGGAGAAGAATCGAGGCAAGAAATTCTCCCTGCAAGAAGTCCTAGAAATCGGGTCAGAGAGTCTCAAGGAATGCACTCCCCGTGCAACGGAAGACTTGCCGTGGCATTTTCTGAGGAAGGTCTTGGCTCTGAACGTGACAGCCAGGAGCACAAGCCTGAGGAAGGGGACATCTGATGGTCAGCAGACAAGAAAAGAAGAGGGGGAATACAGAATTGATGAGAGTATTTTCTGTACAGTCAGGATGGATGAAAGAGTTTCTGTGAACCCCCTTGATGTCCTTTGTGCTGTTCTGCTCTGTTCAGACAGTTTCCTCCAGCAGGAGATCCTTTCCAAAATGTCCATGTGCCAGTTTGCCTTGCCTTTACTTCTGCCTCCTTTGGAGACATCCCACTGCACCCTGATGTTGTGGGCCATGAGGGACATTGTGAAAAGATGGAGGCCCCATTCCCTGGCTGACAGCAGGGGCTTTAGAGAGGAGAGTCTGGTGCTCACGCCCATGCCAACCATCTCTTTTGTGCGAATGGAAGGTTTGAGTCTCTCTAAGTCCAGACTCCTGAATGAGTTTCTCAGTCCCTCCCAACACCACCATGATTTCTTCATACACCGAGACATGGAGGGTGGGAACATCCCTCGGGAAATCGCTGATGGGCTCGTAGAGATAGCCTGGTATTTCCCAGGAGGGCAGAAGAGTTCCGATCTCTTCCCAGAACCAGTAGCAGTTGCAAATCTTCATGGAGGCATTGAATCACACCAGGTGCAGTTTAGATTTTTATCCGAGGTATCTTCAGCTGTATTTATATTTGCCGAATGTATTAGCGAAAGAGAATATACCTTCTTATCATCACTGAAGGAATTGTCAACCGAGTATTACTTTATCTTGGAAAGTCACAGCAGAAAGTTCAGTGAAACTTCGGATTTCTTAAAAGATTTGGCTCAGGTGCTTAAACTCAGCAAATCACATATACTATTAAAAGCAGCCAAGACTAACACAGTAAAAATTGTAGAAGAGCTACGATCTACCATCCGAAGAATAATCAGTGCTGATCCTAAGAGGGTGACTATCGATGATATGGCTGCGGTGGCCCGAGAGATTTCAATCCACGTAGATGAAGACTGCCAAGAATGTCAGGATGCTCACAGATGTACGTTAAAAATCACAGACGATGTAAAGGATGTAGCACTGTACAAGAAAGAAGTGCTGAAACTCCAAGGTGATCTATGGAAAACCTTGGCAAGAGTAGAGAAAGAACTGTGCAGGATGGAAAGACAAGGAGACACACCTTCAGAAAAGTACAGATCTGAACTAAAAGGCAAATTGATGCTCCTGCGTCAACAGCAAAATGAGTGTGATCCCACTATTGGTTTGATAAATTTCATCCATGGCATTGAAGATTCAAAGTCAGCAAAAAAGTATTACTTCTTAAAATGGATGAAGTTTAACTTGGATTACATTGCTAGGGCCAACCTTTCACAGTTACGTGCTGAGTATAAGGAGAAATGCAAGATGTTGGGAAATGACGCTCAGAAGATAGCAGAGGTAGACCAGCTGATTTCTTCTTCCTCCTTGGGTGTTGAGCATTTCATGAGAGAGCTGGGTCAGTTTTATGAAGCAGAATGTTTGATGGACAGAGAAGGCAAATTATCTAAAAACGGAAGGCAGTTTGCCC